GAACCCGCCACCTTAGGTGTATATGGCTGGCGCCTTAGCCGCTTGAGCCACAGGCGCTGAGCCCTTATACTGGATTTAATCTTCTTGAAATGGTGGGTGGCAACCACTTGTGCAGACCTCAATGTATGGTACACAAGAAACACCTTTTTGGTAACATCATGACCTTTTTCTGCTTCTTAGGAGCACATCTAGCATCACTAGTGGCACTTTGTATGAATTCTATGACGTTATTCTAGGTTTGTGGTATCGCACTAACCTTGCCATGAAAAATACTCCAAGAACCTCCAGAGATCACTTTTTACTGTGACACAGTTTACTGGAGGGGAAAACTGCGCCTGTGGAAGCGATTAGTGTCACATGGTGTTTTAAACACATACTATGAAACACACTCACTACAATAGCAACAAGAAGTAGCTACAAAATTATGGTAGTAGTATGCAACGTACTCCAGTTAATTTTATGCAGTTATGATTTAATATTGCACCTTTACGTTTGTATTTCTCTCAACTACAAATGGCACCCTGTATCGTATGTCAATATTTGTGTGCAGAAGTTCTGATAAATTATAACTCTTATAATACATTTGTATATATTTGATGGCAGTAAGTGATAAAATAGATTAGTTTCCACATACATTTTATACATTCATGACATATTTAACTTTTTCCTACTGTTTTTCATATTTCTAGGCCACATGGTTCATCTGCAAGTATTTCAAATTGTCAAAAATCTCCAAAATATGTTTCAGTATATTTATTGAAGATAAGTGGACCTGTGCGATTCAAATCCACATTGTTCAAGCATCAGTTATGAACGTGAGCTACTATTATTGTTGTTATTAGGAAACTAGTTAGTTCCCAGTCTGCCTTGGCACACAGCCCTTCACCTACAGTTGACAGCTGGAAAGTGTTTTACCACCACAAATGACCTAAAACCGTGTTTTGTACCTGGCAGCTGCTTCTTTCTTTCCATCTTCTAGCGTCCTCCAATGAATATGATCTCCGAAACCTGGAAGGAAAGAGCCTTATAAACATTCACACAAGGAACAAGGGGCATAGACCCAAGAAAACGTGGGGTATGTTTACAAGATACCCACTAAAAAATTTTTCTTACAAATTAAAAACATTTTTTAAAGGTTTTCTTCCTTCAAGAGGTGTTCAAGTCCCAGCTCCACTCTCCTCTAGATATAAGGGGCTACAGACAGTCCCATTCCTCAAGCTTTGGTTTTCACACCAGAAAAAGTGATAACACTACCTAATTCATAGTTTTAAGGAGATTAAATTAAATAATGATGTCCATGGATGGAACTGGAAAATGTTCTTCTTAGCAAAGTATCACAAGAATGGAAGACAAAGTATCCAATGTACACAGCCCTATAATGAAACTAATTTATAGTTCTCAAATGAAAGCTGCAACTTAATTCTAGCCTAAGAATATGGAGAGGGGGTGGGGGAGGGGAGGGGAGAAGGGCATCTGGGTGGTGGGAGGGTGACTGGAAAGATCACCTATATGGTCTGTCTAACAAGGGTACAAGTGAACTTTTCTAGAACTAGAGTATAAATGTTTTAACACAATAACTAAGTAAATGACATAAAGTCTATGTTAACCAGTTTGATGAAAGTATTTCTAGGATCACTACCTTTTACTGCTTCGCCAGCACGGATTCAACGAATAAATACAGCTTCACCAAATCAGAATGAGAACTCTAATTTAAGGTCTAGAAACTTGGGTTCTTTTGTCTCCCTTTCAAAAAGAACTTTAAAAGGTATAGTTTTTACCACTGATTCCCCAGCACCATAACTACTAATGCCCATGGAACTTGGAAATCCGAAGTCCGTCTACTTTCCTAAAGAGTCACCTGCATAGCCACTTAATTTATGCCAGTTATCTGCAAAGTAAACTAAAGGCTCCTACATCAGCAGCTCTTTCCCTAAAAAATTAAAAAAACACAGAATTTACATCAGAATATCCAAGACTGGCTCGGCGCCTGTGGCTCAAGTGGCTAAAGTGCCAGCCACATACACCTAAGGTGGCGGGTTCGAATCCAGCCCGGGCCTGCTAAACAACAATGATGGCTGCAACAACAACAAAAAAAGTCAGGCGTTGTGGCGGGCACCTGTGGTCCCAGCTACTTGGGAGGCTGAGGCAGGAGACTCACTTGAGCCCAGGAGTTGGAGGTTGCTGTGAGCTGTGATGCCACAGCACTCTACCCAGGGAGACAGCTTGAAGCTCTGTCTCAAAAAAAAAAAAAAAAGAAAATCAAAGACTGTCATCTGAAAACTGCTTCAATGAGCGTAAGGTAAGGACATCAGAAAAATATTATTCACGCCCACCCCCACCCCAGCTCATGAAACCTAAATAACAAAAGGTCAAGTGGCAGAGCAGACAACCAAAACTCTGAAACAGGGAATGCTGTATCAGAGAAGTAGAATAGCATGATGGCTAAATAACCTTTGTCTCAGTCAAACAGATCTGAATTGGAATCCTTGTTCAGCCACCTACTGTTTTCACAAATGCAAAATATGTCTAACAGAAATCATCCATCCTAGACATGAACAGAACCTTCTCTGAGGAAGACAGAAGAATGGCTAACATGAAAAAATGCTCATCATCCCTAAACATCAGAGCAGTGCAAATCCAAACCACCCTGAGATATCACCTAACCCCAGTGAGAATAGTCCATATCACAAAGTCCCAAAGTTGCAGATGCTGGCAGGATTGCAAACTAACACAGCCTCTTTGAAAAGAAGTATGGAGAATCCTCAAAGAATTCAGACCTCCCATTTGATCCCACAACCCCATTACCAGGCAGGCATCTACCCAGAAGAAAAAAAAAAATCATTTTATCATAAAGACATTTGCATTAGATTGTTTGTCACAGCTTGATTTACAATCACCAAGGTGTGGAAACAATCTAAATACCCATCAATTCAGGAATGGATTAACAAACTGTGGTATACGTATAACACGGAATACTATTCAGCCATAAAATAGATGGAGACTTTACATCTTTTGTCTTAACCTGGATGGAGGTGAAACACATTCTCCTTAGTAAATTATGCCAAGAATAGAAAAGCAAGTATCCAATGTACTCAGTTCTAACATGAAGCCAGTAGACAATCTAACACATGCCCACATAAGAGAGAAACTCAATTCCGTTAAAGTTGCAGGGGGTAGGGAACAGAGGCAGGGGATTGGTGGGCTCCCACTTAATTTGCATAATATAAGGGTATATGGCACACCTCTTGGGTACGGGACACAACTACAAGAAGGACTCTACCTAACAAATGCAAATACTATAACCTAGTTGTTTGTATCCTTACATGAACCTGAAATTAAAAAAAAATAAATAAATTATCCATTCTATAGGGTTGTTTTGTGAACAGGACGCTGTGTAGAAGGTAAACACTTCACACATGTTAGTGCCAGATTTTTACTCCAGAAACTTGACAAAGTCATCCATTTCTATTTCAGCAGGAGAGCACATGAACTGCCCCTACCGACAGCTTTCTAGTTCTCTTTAACCTCTTCAGAGGAGTTTCTGCACTGAGAGGCCAGAAGAGTGTAGTGGTTAAGGAGTCTGGCTCTGGAATTTGTACTCTAGCTAGTCTACTTGCTTGATGGCTGTGTGACTCCTGTGCCTTATGTCAAGTTCTTCATCTGTGAAATGGAGATATAGGAACCATTGATAAGCCAACTCTCTAATTTAATAAATGGTCACCATGGAGGACCAGAGCTGGCTAAATGGCCTGACCAAGATTAAAATACAAGCCTTCTAATTTCTATATGGTGCTCACTCCATACTACTGTGCTTCCACTTTTTTAAGAAAACCAGTGGGGAATCATTCAGTCTCTTCTCTTTGCAAACCCCCAGGCCATCTTCCAGAAAGAGCCAAAGGTACTTAACATCTGAGAAGAAATCCCTCTCATCATGATCTTTAGGAATCACTGCCTTAGGTAGCACTTTTCTGGGAAGTAGGTGGGTGGGGTATGATCTATACCCAAGAGATATATAAAAGTTTGAAGTATTATTAATTTTCTTTCAGAAATAATTAAATATTTTCTTTTTTTTCTTTGTGACAGAGTCTAACTTTGTCACTCCCAGTAGCGTGCCATGGTGTCACAGCTCACAGCAACCTCTAACTGTTGGGCTCAAGTGATTCTCTTGCCTCAGCCTCCCTAGTAACTGGGACTACAGGGGCCCACCACAACACGTGGCTATTTTTAGAGATGGAGTCTTGCTCTAGCTTAGGCTGGTCTATAACTCTGGTCTATAACTCATCAGCTCAAGTGATCTGTCCACCTCAGCCTCCCGAAGTGCTGGGATTACAGGTGTGAGCCACTGCACCTGGCTAATTAAATATTTTGCCATGGGAGGAAATAATATCAGTTAGCATTTACTAAATACTTTCTAAGCATGTGACACAATATGAAGTATCTTTTTTTTATTCACAACCCAGCTCCCCTGCCCTAAACTGCCTTTTAAAACATGTTCCTACAGTTGCCTGGTATTCCTCTGCACAAAGTACATATCAGGCTGTCCTGTAATTGCCAGCTTACTTGTCTTGATATTTCACCAAACTTCAGGCTGAAAAAGGACAACAATCACAACTCACAATGATCATGTTTATCATTCATTTCTTCTTTCAACAAATATTCCTGATCATGAACATGATAGAAATAATCCTGGGTCCCTGTGGGAGACATACTTTTCTTACAGCAATGTGACCTCAGCATACCTTCCATTAGGGGTTCGGGTGTTAAATGTCCTTGCCCTTGAACCTGCCCCGACATAGTTGAGTGCAAATGATGCTATGTAACTTGTAAGGCTAGATGATAAAAATGCCATGCATTTCCACCTGATTTCTTATGCCACTCACTCTTGGAATCCAGCTGCCCTACTATGAAGATGCCCACAGTAGCCCCTGGAGACATATCACATGGAATAATAACTAGCAGTGGCGCCAGATGTCATAGACTAAGCCTTCCCACTGTGCCTTATTCAAATTCCTGACCCATGGAATTGTGAGCAAAATAAAATGATTTCTTTATGCCACAAGATTTGGGGGTGAAACCACACAGAATTTAATGTCTAACAAGGAGTAAAGATAATAAATACCTGACTCCAAGATACAGCCTATATATAACATGTAACACATAACTGAAATAAATTATTTGTTGAGTGTTTGAAGTAGTTACATAGTATTATTAGGCCCATTTTGCAGATGAGCAACTGGGGTTTCCAGAAGTTAAGAAACTTGCCCCAGCTTTGCTGGTCAGTGGCATAACAAATTAAAACTCAGAACTAAACCAACATTCCCAACACTACACTCTTCTATTCCCCTCAGCACTTAACAATTTTACTCTTAAGTACACAATAGTCAGTTTTATAATGGTATCATCAGTATTAAAAACATTCTGGAATGGCAGGGCATGGTGGCTTAGGCCTGTAATTCTAACACTTTGAGAGGCCAAGACAGGAGGACTGCCTGAGGCCAGGAGTTCAACACCAGCCTAGGCAACATAGTAGGACCTCATCTCTTTAAAAAAAAAAAAAAAATTAAAATAAATAATTAATTAAAAAACATTCAGGCCCAGTAAGATTCATCATGCAATTTCACCACTGAGATGGAAATCCATATATCACCTTCTCAGATAAGCTTTTCTTGACCTTCCTAACCCAAGTGATGCCAGCTCCCTCATCCTCCCCAGCCTTTCTATTTCTTATTCCAGCATAGTCATTTTCTTCCCAGGACTTACCCTTTACTTAAACTGCCATTTTTTTTCTTTTAAAGAGACAAGAGTCTCACTTTCTCGCCCTCAATAGAGTGCTATAAAATCACAGCTCAGAGCAACCTCCAGCTCTTGAGCTTAGGCGATTCTCTTGCCTCAGCCTCCCGAGTAGCCCGAACTACAGGCACCTGCCACAGTGCCTGGCTATTTTTTTGTTGCAGTTTGGCCAGGGCTGGGTTCGAACCCGCCACCCTCAGTATATGGGGCCAGCACCCTACTCACTGAGCCACAAGCACCACCCGAAACTGCCATGTTTATTAATTTGTTCTTGAGTTTACTTTGTCTCTCTAACTTGACTATAAACTCCATGAGAGCAGGGACCTTGTCTATCCTGTTCATAGCTATATCCCTGGAGCCTAGAACAGTGCCTGAAATATGGTAAGTAATCAAAATTATTTACCGCATAATTGTATTCAGGCACCCTGAATGCCTATCCAATATCATAGATGCAAATAAGGAGGATAAGAGAGAGAGAGAGAGAGAAAAAAAAAAAGCCCAGCACGACTACAGAAGAATCATTCTATATAGTAAGGCAAGTAAGAAAGAAAAAACAAAAGGTTGGGATCCATGCTACATCTCAAATACTCTAAATTCACAGACAATTAAATCCAACTTTCAACTAAGAAAGAGCTGGTGAAGAGAAAGATGTTAAGAGTTAAAATGAAGATGTAGGCAATGGATGGGGTTAGGGGTCACGCATTCTAACCTCCATTCATAACCACTGGTCACTCACTCCTCAAAAAACTTCAGTTTCTTCAGACACAGTAGCTGAACCGCAACAAGGACACTTGTTGGAGACCCTCTAATAGCAGAGCCTTCATCTGGCCATTTCTTATGTACCAGATACTCCTCCAGAAGCAAGGAGGGAGCAGTAATAGCTCTTCAAGGAAGAGGAGAGGAGAGGAACCTTCAGACCCAGGGCAGGAGTCTCTGCATATGCTGAACTTCAACGGCCCTATTTCTCCCAGGAGGGAAGGTGACTGTTCCTGAAGACCTACCACATGTTGGGCACTGTGCTGCGCTCTCAAAAACATGTTTTTCCTAATTTACAGGCCATTCCTGCCCCCAACCCAATAATTTAAAGAGGACTCAAGTACGACTTTCCCCTTCTCACATTCCCCAGACCCAGTACCTCCCCTACCCCCAAGAAATCTAAAAATCTAGGAGCGACTAGGCAAGATAAAAAGAAATCTGGAGTGGCCCAAGAGATAGAACAGGAGGGGGAAACGGTGTTAGGGCAAGACAAGGGTTTATACTGGGCTGGGGCCCAGAAAGAGTAAAGATTAAGATAAGAACGCGGTCTGACCCCTTCCAAGCCCACTATGTCCATCAGAAGAGATGACGAGCAGCAGGAAACTGAAGCCCAGCAAACAGGTGGCCCCGAGTCGAGGCTGCAGCTCCATGGTAGTAGGCGCGCCGGGCCACTGGGCTGAGCGGACACAGGGCCGGAGTCCTAGAAGGTCCGCACCGCTCCCCAAGCGCGGCTCAACCCAACTCCTCGCGTTCCCAGAATTTTTTTTTTTTTTTCCCCAAACTCTGAAGGAAGTGATGTTAGACGGATGTGGGTGGTGCCTCCGGAGTCCGGTTTGGGATGGAGCTAGTTTAAAGGTGCAGATCACGTAGAAGGGTACAGGAGTTGGTTTCAAGCGCGAGTTGGTCTTACCCGATCCTGGACGTCCAGGTCCCGGAAATAAACAGGAAAAGATGAACCAAAGGAGTGGGGGCGGGGGAGAGGCTCGTGAAAACCGTTGCTGGCGGTGTCCCCCTCCCACTGTAGCTCCTCCCACCGAGAACCGCTGCTCTTAATATTCAAATGTAAATTATTGATTGGTGAGGTTAGCCTCTCGCAACAGAGGTTGTCCCATTGGCCTTGGATTCTCCTTACCCCTGCACAAATAAAATAGACTGGACAACTGAATTTAATTGTTAGATCCCTGCTCAGGTCTCCGAGGAAAACTGGAAAACCTGTGGTGCACTGTCTGGTGCCTTGGAAGCATGCCCTTTCCTACTGGAAAAGAAGCGCAGGACCTTATTTTCCTTGCAACTGCAATACTTCCACTTACAGAGATAATGCAGCCAACTGATGCAAGCTCCGAGAAAAGCAAACTTAAGGCCTCTTTTGCAAAACTGACCTAGATGGATTTAGGACACCAGGACGTGAAGCACCGCAGGCATTTAAATGGTAAAGCCTCTTATGGTTAAATCTATTTTTCTTGTAGGTTGTTTCTTCCCACTTTTTCCCCTCTGCTGTACAACAAACAGATCAAAATTTTCCATCTTCCTCCTGGTACTAGTACAGTCCTATAGTGCGCACATTGAAAAGGCAGCCGAACAAAAGCACACACCCCTCTTACTAGATTTCCTACAAATTATAGGCACTGACACAATGGAACGCTCGGGAGACTACAAGCTCCAGGATGCAGCGCGGCCACCTATACCTGCCATCAATAGACACTGAGGGGTGCGCAGAGCAGGCTGGGCTTTGTAGTTCGAGTATACGCTCCCGGGATAGGCCCTCTGGCGAGGGAGAGGCGGGGCTGGCTTGTCACGTGGGTACCGCTCCCGCCGCCGCCGCCGCCGTCTTTCTCTGTCTGGTCTGAGGCAGCCATCTTGCTCTTGCCGCGTGCTGGTGTTGGAGGACCCTCCCGCTTCAGGTGAGACCCCCGGCAGTCCCGCCACTCCACGGCCATAGGCCGCTGCGCACGGTCTCCCCCCGCCCTCTTCTGCCAACACCTGCCAACCGCTCGGGCTGCCACTTCCGCCGTGGCGCGGCGAGTGGGGGCGGAGGCGGCTGGCTTGGCCTGTCGGTTACCGGCGGCGCAGCTGGGGGTCGGCACCTGAGGGAAGGTCCCCAGCACCACCGCCCCCTGTGGGGGGCGAGCGGGCCCGGGCTGTCGCCGCCCGGATCCAGGCCCAGGAGGCGGCGGGCCCCCCTCCTCTGTCCCGTTACTCGTTATTCGCGGCAGTGTCGTCAGCTTTTGAGCTTTGTACAGCCTGTGTGTTGTCATCTCATTGGAGCCTCCCGCTCCACAGATAGGGAAACTGAGGTTAGCACCCCGAGCCTTGGGGACCCAACTGCGTTGCAGTGCTCTTCACCTTGTAATGGCAATATTGGTTGACAAGTGTGCCTCCCTTTTGAGACACTGCCTTCCAAACCCCTCACGCTGCCTGATGTTTGCCCGACAGGCACAGTGTTTGTTACACCGCTAGTGAATGGCGGTTTCCACTTCCGTTCCCACGTTGTTTTCACTTTAGCATAGCCGTCGGGTCTACCACCGGGAGTGGTAACAATAGTTGCCAGTTATTGAGTATCTTCCGTGAGCCGTACTCAATCTAGTTTCTAACCCTCAGAACAACCCTGTGAAGTATGGGGTGTTGAGTCTTTTTGTTAGTTTAGGAGGACTACAAATTCAGAGAAGTAAAGTATCTTTCTGACGCCTTAAGTGGTCTTTCTGATTCCAAAGTCTGTGCTTTTCTTAGAGAAACCCTGCATAAAATACAAAGTCGGGACTAAAGGTTGAAATTACTCTGGGCTCTGTGTAAACATTATGGATTTGAAAATGCCATGCTTGTAATTTAGGCACTATAAATTAACTTCTTTATTTACACCCTTTATTACGTCTTCGAGAAGAACTTAATCAAGTGGCTTTAGGAAGTTACTTCTCCCTTTTGAGCCTAGAAAGGGATTTCTCCCTTCTGGGTCCTCGTTTCCTAATCTATTAAACTGGGAAAGAGATGACCGTTTTGTTTATAATATATACCTTGCAACTGCTAGTAAGTATCGAGATGGCCTCATATTAAAACAAATGATGGGTACAATACAGTAGAGATTGACTGACGAACAGAGAATTAAACCAGGTGATCTTTGAGGTCTACTCCCCATGCTAAGCTTGACCTTTCTTCTTTCATAGAATGAGTCCAATCCTCTTTCCTACTTGAATTGCACACACCCCACCTTGCTAGCAAGGAAAAGACCACACTTCTTCCTCCCCTACTGCCTTCAGCTTCCAACCTCCCTAAAATCCTTTTTCTCTGAAATACTACTTGTTCCCAAGATTTCTCAATTCTGTTGTCCTCAACACCTGGAATGGAATCTGTTCTTTCATCCATACATTGATTAAAGAGCTAATTTAATCCTTTCTTTTTGTTCAAACAAGTCAGGACTCTTTATGTCTTGATTTGTCGGCCTCCCTCTCTTCTCTTGGGGATTGTTACTTCAAAAAGCAGAAGTCCAAAGGGACTCCCTGTGTCTAGTTTTAGTATTTTCACTTAACTCCCTTAAGCCCCATTTTTGTAAGGACTTCCTTAAGCTCTTACCCTCTCCCCAACACACACACCTCTATGGCAGGACATTCTTAAGCTCTTCAGTAATTCACCACACCTTCTTGGCCATATTCCTTTGAGAAAAGTGAATATTGGTCCTTTTCCGTGGGTGTTTGTGTATAGAGATTGGGAATTACATCAGCAAATTTAAGCCTGTGGCAGAGCTAAGATTGACACGCACCTAAGACTTCGTGTTTTGGACTCTAAACACACATCCTCCTATAAAGTGTTTTTAGCTGCTTGAGCACAGTGATACAGTGCTGAGCAGAGAATGAGGAATCACAAATTCTAAATGTTACTTGGAAACTGGCCTTATTTAGCTTGAAGAAGAAATAATGCAGGTCAATGCTGGAATACAGTGTCAGAGTGCAAAATGGTTAGTAATTATATAGTCTTTGATTCTGTTTTTTTCATCTCTCAAATGAAGAAAACAATATTTTTTATCTGGATGATTATGCATGGGTCAGAGAATTGGCCAGAGAAGGTTTGATAATAGCCTAGGAGTTCATTCCCTCCCTACTTCCCTTCTCAGTCATGATTTGTTGATCCACAGAACAAGTAAAACAAGACTTTTAAGTTGGCTTTTATTTGTTTATATATGTAGCCTGGAATGTTACGACCCATTCTAAACTTGAGAACTTTTCTTCTTTAGGAATTTCCCTGACCACAGTAGGATTCAAGACTTTATAATGTTAGAGTCTTCAAAATCAAGATTAGCTTTAAAAAGCTTATTTTAAGTCTTCCCCTTTCTTTCTCCTCAAAAAGTATTAATGTAGCAGAGATATGTTTTTGTTAAATTGTGCAGTGAAGCATTTTATCCTGTATGTGAGAATATCTTGGAAAATGTGACATACTATATCAGGGCAAAGTATTATGTGAACTGTGGAGAGACTGCAGAAGAGCCTAATTTTGGAAATCTGGTTCTCTTTCCCTATTATTAAGACACCATCTGACCTTGAATAGAGGACGAGAATACCTGATATCTTGACAGCTAGACAGCCTACTGTTGAATTGCTTCTTTGTTCAGTTTTTTTTTTCTTTTTGTTATCTTTGTGGTTTATAAGAAATATAAAATGTGATTTGAGAGAAATAAACTGCTTGAAGATGTTGCTAATAACATTTGGTAACAGCTCTCTGCTATAAAAATCTTTGGAGGGAAAAATTGGCTTGAATACAGATTTCGTAATTGGTTAGGTTTAACTGAATGCCAAAAGATGGAATTATCTTTAAGGAGGGATCCTCAAATAGTTGATTTTGAATCCCATTCTATTTTCTGTTTGTGTATTTGACTCCCTCATGGCATTTTATTTTGATTTTTTTAATATATGGTTTATGAAGCTAGAAAAAGCTATTAATATTTATAAAGAGTATAGGCAGTATAAATATGATCATGATGTCGATGCATACTGCAAGCTCAGTGAACCAGAAGGTACTGTTTGCATAAACAGTTTTTTTAATTTTGGTAAAACAGTGACTTTAACAAATCTATTTTTCCCCCCCTAGATTTACCAACAGCATGAATCAAGAAAAGTTAGCCAAACTTCAGGCTCAGGTCCGGATAGGGGGCAAGGTGAGTGTGGCATAAGAAAAATTGATAGGAGAATGTATGGTTACCAGATAGTATTATTTTGGATTTGTGGTCATTGAAAGTCTAAAATCTTCTCAATAATCAAAATCAAACCACATTCCAATTTGAAAAATAATTTGTCTAGATCTAAAATAGGTAACTAGAAGACTTTTCTCTCTGATAGTACAATGGAAATAGCCACGGTTGTTTGAATCCTAACTCTTAACATCTGCTAGTTGTGTGACATGAACAAGTTACCCAACCTTGTTAAGCTTCCATTTTCTTATTTGCAAAAGAGAAATAATCCTACATAAGATGCTCCTAAAGATTAGGGTAATATTTATAAAATGCCTAACATGGTGTCTGGCACAAAGTAGGTGCTTAATAAATGATAGCTGTCATTGCGTTAGACTCACCTGTAAGGCATACCAAATGTTAAGATTACCTATTCATAAATGAATGTACCTACTTACGCAGTTAGGTTTATAAGATGTTTAACTGGAGATGATCAAGCTGTTTGTACATTTTGTTCATTGCCAGGGTTTGAATTCGGGTTTCCTGAATTCCTCCCATGTTGGTGAATATGAACATGAGATTTCTTATTCTGTGTACTTTAACACCTAATGAAGAGCTAATACTGAACATCAAAAATCTTTGATTCTCTTCAGCTGTAGCCCCAAACTCAAGGAGAATATTCTATCCTTATCTCTGCCCAATATAATCTTTGCAAAAGGGAAAGAGAGAACAGTACTTAACCTGGAGTTGAGGAGAGGGTAGATAGGACACTACTTT